AGTGTGAACACACATACGGTTTCTCTCCAGTGTGGATCATCTGGTGTCGTTTCAAGTGTTCAGCTCTAATAAAAGTCTTCTCACAGTCTAAACACACAAACTCCCTCGCACCAGTGTGGATCTTCTGATGTGCTTTAAAGTGTGACTGCTGTGAAAAACTCTTCCCACACTCAGAGCAACTATACGGCTTCTCATTTGTATGAAATCCAAGATGGATCTTCAGCTCTGAAGCTCTCAGAAATATCTTGCTGCACTGATCACACTTGTGCGGCTTCTCTCCGGTGTGGATCATCGTGTGTTGATGAAGATGTGATGATTGTGTGAAACTCCTCCCACACTGAGTACAGGTGAACGGTTTCTCTCCGGTGTGGATCCTCTGGTGCTTTTTCAATTCTCCAGCTGTAATGAAAGTCTTCTCACACTCGTAGCACACATGCTCTCTCACACCAGTGTGGATCTTCTGATGTGCATTAAAATGTGACTGCTGAGTAAACCTCTTTCCACACTCTAAACATGAATAAGGCTTCTCCTTTGTGTGAACTCTAAGATGGACCTTCAGATCTGAAGTCCTCAAAAAAGTTTTACCGCACTGATCACACTTGTGTGTTTTCTCTCCAGTGTGGATCAGCATGTGAAGCTTGAGATTACCTTTGTGCTCAAAACTCTTTCCACAATGAGTGCAGGTGAAACCTGTTTGTTCGCTCTTTGGGTGAGTTTCTTCTTCACTCTTGACCTGACGTTTCTCCTCATCTTCACTCAGTTCTTCACTCTCCTCCTTCACTACCACATCTGAAAAATAAGAAAGTAAGTTTTGTTAACAATCTAGTTTTCATCAGTAGTCAAATGATTCTGAATAAGAGCATTTGTGTGTTTGGCTGAGATGTGCAGGTGGTCAAATATGTTTGCACCTCGGCTTTTAAAAGCAACTAGATGTGAGGAATTTAAATTGTGTTCACTTAAACAAGTTCGATTACAAGTAATGGACATTTTTAATAAATTAGTCTGACTTAAACGTACTATCTTTAGTTACCATTATTTGAGTCTGGTCAATGTAATTTAGTTTTAAAGTGTACTCACACTTGACATGTTCACCTTTAACCGAGCCCTGGTGCGATCGTCTCACATTTTTACTTTCCGAGTCCGAGCACACTTGCGTGATCAATGAGACAGTTCAGTATAAAGATGAGGATAGACGCTCTCACTCAGTACATTATAGATTGCTTCATATTGTTGTCTATTTGTTTGTGTAGGAAAGTCCTAAAACGGAGTTGCAGTTCTTATGAGTATACACTAGATGGCGCACCTCTCTAATTCGACCGACATTTAATACTTTCACTTTTAGAGCAAGCACATGGCACAAATCACTTGTGAGGCACGGTGAGAGGGAAAAACATCTATCCTGTGTGCGTTCATGCCAAGAAAGTGAATTTATTTACTGATTTCCACCAAAAATATGTATAATACTTATGTTAATACTGTTGTAACAATATATGTAATGTTATATTTCTCCTTTAATGCATATATTTGCATAATCTTATGTTATACAGTATGTCAGTCTGTGTTGTGAAGCTAATATGCTAGTCCAAACTATTTATGCCACAGTATGTTTCTTTGTTGGATTAATGTATATATTTTGACAGAATTTTGAGTCGTTTCTAAACACTACAGTTTGACAGTGAATTTATTCCTATACCTAAAGATTATTTTCTGTTGTAATCTGAATGGAAATGTTTGACTGTTGTTAGTTAATTGCTAAACCTGTAATATTTTATTGATAATTAATTTGTCCTATTTTATGTTCCAGACCACACACACACATACGCAAACTCTCACATCCCCTCTTTACCTATACCAACAACGGTTAACCTGTACCATTATACCGACTCATTAAAGCTATTTTTGGATGAAACTCTCCAAGCCCTTTACTGTCGTACCGGGGTCTCCAGTTTTCAAGGACTATCAGAACATTCCAGAGGTTCCACCTCAACCGTTTGAGTTGTTTGGGACATAATGACACACAACCGAATAATTAACACATCCACCGCTCATAAATTTTCATAAATATCAAGTCTAAAGGTGGCAGCTGAAGAGGTTTGCAAGGAAATTTGTCAAGAGATTTGAGACTCAACCGATAGAAGATGCAAGCTGTTATAATAATTAGGGTTATTACAATAACACAGAATTAAATTTAAATAAAATATTGCAAAAATGATGAGTGGTTAAAGGTTATGTCGTGCCACTCTGCCCAGTAGTATTCAGTACACTGGTTTCACTCTCTCTCCAGCTGTAGCCTCTGCACAGAGCAAAGCAGCTTTCACACTGGACACGGAAAGCACTGCACTATGAAACCCATTCATTTCATTGCACCATGCAATGCATTGTTTGATGCTGTGTCGAAAACAGGTTGATCTCTATGGTAACCCTTTAATTAGGGCTGATTAATACTACTGCATCAAGTGCATGCAAATGGTCTGGCGCAGCCTTCGCACAGTTGCATAAATTTAAATCTACATTTAAAAATTTACATACGTCACATCAACCCATAGATCAAGCTCTTTGATTTGACTGCTTATAGTGTTGATGAGTGTGGGTGGGGCTGAGAGCCGTGAGATTTGAGCAACAAGTATTAAGTCTTATGGAGGAGATCCAGCTGGATACTTTTGTTTAGTGTTTACTTTAATATTAAAATTGTTGCATGTCCAGAGGTGTCCAAACTCGATCCTGAAGGGCCAGTGTCCCTGAGTTTAGTTCCAACTTGCCTCAACACACCTGTCAGGAAGTGTTTGGTATATCTAGTAAGAGCTTGATTGGCTGGTCCAGGTGTTTTAAATTAGGGTTGGAGCTTAATTCTCCAGGACACCGGCCCTCCAGGCCTGAGTTTGGACACCCCTGCTCTAAATGAATGAGTTTGAGCTACTTGTACTAGTAAGGGTGCATTCACATTTGGTTTGATTGCCTGGTGCAATCCCAAGTTCCATTGTCCCCCTTGCCACTTGGCTGGTTTGTGTTCACAGTCTTTTTTCTTCTGAACCCTTGTACGCTTGCGTCATCAAGCTGCTGTGTGTGTAGTGGAGGCCAGCTAGTGTAGTGCTGTGCAAGTAAACCTCACTCCTCTGACCTCTAAAGGTGCTCTAGCGACAGACGCTAGAGGCCATGGTCTTTAGACTCCTTGTTAGGGCAACCAACTCCCATGTGGAGAGTTGCTGGTTTGATCCCAGCTCGGCGCGGGTTGGGTGATGTAGGACTGGTGGGATTGCATTGGGGCCGTGACCCGGATGGGAGTGAGGTTTAGGGGGGTGAGTGTAGTGGAGGCCAGCTAGTGAATTGCTGTGCAAGTAAACCTCACTCCTCTGACCTCTATAGGTGCTCTAGCGACAGACGCTAGAGGCCATGGTCTTGAGCCTCCTTGTTATTGCAACCAACTCCCATGTGAAGACTTGCCGGTTCGATCCCAGTTCGGAGCGGGTTGGTTGGTGTAGAACCGGCAGGGTTACATGTTCATGCGTGCCGCTGCTCGGAACGGGCCCTATGACAACATTTTGATGGTGTTGTGTAAGTGAACAGTGGGTCTGGAGGGATGTGTGTGTCACGGATGAAAGTGAGGAGCGGAGGGGATGAATGGTTGGGTTGGGGATTGAGGGGCCCCAAAACAGCCCCTAGCGGCACCCCTGGTTGTGTGTACAGCTGGTGCTAGGTGACAGCCACAAAAGGAAAGCACCAAAATGGAAAGACATACACATTTCACAGCTGTTCTGCTTTTACTGAATCGTTTGGTTTTGTTATCGAAATACAAAGAGCTACTTGAGTCTATTTGGTGAAAAAAATATATAAACGTTCAGAACATCACGCAATGATGATGGCACGAACCAAAAGTGCTAGTGTGAAAGCACACTAAGGGTAAGGGTGTCACGATCCTCCAAATCCTCGATTCGATTACATTTTTGATTCTAAAGGCCCGATTCGATTTTCGATTATGAATAATTAATTAATTAATGACCAATTAATTATTTGTAGCCTACCGTTTAAACTACCTGACCTGCATGGTCTTTGTTTTACCCATAAACAAATCACACAGTAAATGAATAAAGGCAAGATACACACATAATTACCACCTGTCAATCACTTTTTCTGCGGGACTCGTGAATAGGCAGTGATCTGTGTCGTTATAATGGCGTCGGTAAAAAAGACGCACAACCAACAGGAACCAGCCAACAGTATCTGAGGTGTTCGCTAAAATGACTAAGTACAAGTGAGTGAAAGATTGAAGCAGTCCTCTGACTGCCTGGACCTGCTGTCTCGAGCGCATGGCTGTGTGTGCGTCTGTGTCTGTGTGGTCACGTGATGTGCATTTTCAGAGGTAGAGAGGAAGGAGGGCTGCTCAGAAATGCTACACGCCACTGTGGATGTCAAATCGTTGTCGTTCTAAAATGCCATTTAAAAACAAAGACAGTGTAAACAGGGCCTGAGTGTGTACTTTTCGCGAGCGGATTTGCAACGGGGGCGGGCGGAGGATCGCGATGCCGGTGTTGTCTATCGGATGAACCGTACGTAATACGTACATAGCAGAGCTTGCAAAACTGTGTTTTTTTTGTCGACAACATGAACGTTGTCAACATAACTCACTGGAAATCCAAAATGCTTCCACACCGGCGACTTCATTGAAAGAGGAGAGGGTTTAAGTTCGGGGTGTGGCAGCATCGACGATTCTATTTTTTGATTCGATAATCGAAATTGAGCATAAATTTCGATCGATTTCGAAATCGTGACACCCCTAACTAAGGTTGCACACTAAGTTATTCGAACCATACCCAGGTGCATTTCCTGGTTCGTTTGACAAGTGTGAGTGCTCCGAATGAGGCCTAGGTGCAGTTCAGTTGGCCGGCCCTGGCCTGGTTGGAAGAGGTGTGCCAAAGCGCGGTTCGGTTAGGCTTTGGTGCGGTATGCTTGTTGTGTGAGTGCACCTGACCCAAAACTGAAGACGCGATGTCACCTTTAAGATATTGTTTCATATGGATTTATTATTCATTCTTACTTTTCAATGAACATGAACTGTGTAAACAAAACACCTGAGAAGAAACTTTACACAGAGGAGCATAAAAGACAGAACCCGCACTGCCAACTAGTGTTTCAGAAGTGTTACTGCAGAACAACAAAAAAATGCAGAAGTATAAATGCATGACTGCACGCAAGGCATGTGCTGTGGGTTATAACTATCATGTGGCGCAGGAGTATAATTAAGCCTTTACTAATATTGAGTATAAAATCATTATTTTTAACGTTTTTGTTTATAGATATTTTGATAAATGTTAGAAACTCATAACCACTTCTACAGTAGGAAATAAATATACTGAGGAAGTCAATGGTTACAAGTTTCCAATGTTTTTTTTTTATAATTTAAGTTCAACAGATAAAAAAAACTTGAAACATGTTTTAAGGAGCAAGTGGAGGATGAGTAAATAATGACAATATTCATTTTTGGGTGAACTATGTCTTAAAACTTGAAATTTTCAGGAAGGTAAATGTCACTGAAGTGAAAACATCGGTCATGACACATACTTCGCTGTATGAAACCTAAGATAGTTCTTCAGATCCGAAGCTGCACTCAATTATGTTTTGCTGCATTAATCAGATTTGTGTGGTTTCTCATTGTGTGTCGATGAAGGCATGTTGAACGTGAGAAACTCTTCCCACACTGAGTACATGTAAACGGTTTCTCTCCGGTGTGAGTCCTCTCATGCGTTTTCAGATGTGCTGGATTTCTGAACGCTTTGTTACACAAGCTATGTGAACAAGCATACGGTTTCTCTCCAGTGTGAGTCATCTGGTGCTGTTTCAAGTGTTCAGCTCTAATGAAACTCTTCCCACACTCAAAGCAGACAAACTCTCTCACACCAGTGTGGATCTTCTGATGTGCTTGACAATGTGACTTCATCGTGAAACTCTTTCCACACTCAGAGCAGGAATAAGGCTTCTCCTTTGTATGAAATCTAAGATGTCTCTTCAACTCTGAAGTCCTCATAAATGTTTTACCGCATTGATCACATCTGTGTGGTCTCTCTCCAGTGTGGATCATCATGTGTCGAAAAAGGTTTGATGATTGATTGAAACTCTTCCCACACAGAGAACATGACAACGGTTTCTCTCCAGTGTGAATCCTCTCGTGTGTTTTCATTGGTCGTAACTGACTGAATCTCTTGTCGCAGTGCGAACACTTGTACGGTTTCTCTCCAGTGTGAATCATCTGGTGCTTTTTCAAGTCTCCAGCTGTAATAAAGTTCTTCTTACATTCCCTGCACACAAACTCCCTCACACCAGTGTGGATCTTCTGATGTAGGCTTAAACTCGAGTGCTGTGAAAACCCCTTCCCACACTCAGGACATGAATAAGGCTTCTCCTTTGTGTGAACTCTAAGATGGGTCTTCAGATCTGAAGGCCTCAAAAATGTTTTGTGGCACTGATCACACTTGTGTGTTTTCTCTCCAGTGTGGATGAGCATGTGTTGATGAAGGTATGATTGTCTGAAACTCTTCCCACAGTAAGTACATGTGAACAGTGACCTTCCAGTGTGGATCCTTTCATGTATTTTCAGGTTTCCTGAATGAATGAATCTCTTGTCGCAGTGTGAACACTTGTAAGGTTTCTCTCCAGTGTGGATTCTCATGTGACGGTTGAGATTGCTTTTATTCCCAAAACTCTTTCCACACTGAGTGCAGGTGAAAGCTTTTACTGCTGTTGTTTTTATTAAAAAACTATCTTCCGTCACTGACTGAAATTCAAGGTCACTTTTGATTTGATGTTTCTCCTCATCTTCACTCAGCTCTTCCCTCTCCTCCTTCACAATTACATCTGAAAATTAAGTAAATAAGTAACATTGTAAAAGGCTAGTTTTACAGCATATGCTGCTGCTCTGGGCTAGTTTTTACCAGTACAGTAAAAATGATCATAAATAAGAGCAATTGTGTGTTTGGCTGAGATGTGCAAGTTTGCACCTTGGCTTTTATACAAAACACATTATTCGGCCCCTAAGAATATCTAATTACAATTAGGGCTGCACGATTCTGGCAAAAATGTGAATTACGATTTTTTTGGCTTAAAATCAAGATCACGATTCTTTCTCACGATTCTGTATATGTGAAATAAAGGTTAATATGATTAGCCTGTTATTATTGTTCATTCTTAAACATATGGTAAAACAACACTATTAATATAAGGCCTGTTTGTAGCTCTACTGTTGGTTAAAATGCTAAGTTTTGTATTATGGTGGACTTGAACAGACTTTCAATATGTCCTGTTTGTTAATTCACAGTAAAATGATGACATCAGAATATAACTATTATAATTATAAAGCTTATTCATTATGTTTAAGACGTGCTTGTCATCTGTTATTGACAGCATTATTAGACCATTTGTTTTCACTGGTAAAATTTGAATTTTGTCATTATCAGACTCCTTGCATTATATTCAACATTATATATAGGCTAGGGTTGTTATACTGACACAGTAAACATTTATTTTAATGCACAATACTCTGTGTTCGCTATGAAAAAAAAACGTATCAAATGCTTGTTGTAATCATAACTCTAAAATGCGATATGTTCATATGCTCAAAAGTGAAACTGAAACCTATGCGCACATCTATTAAATGAACATAATTGATGTGCGCATAGGTTTCACTTTCACTTCCGAGTGCGGCTCATGGCTGCCGTCACTGTGAGAAAAACACACACATGCAAATCAAACCTTCGCACGTCCCTCAAACGATCGCTCTGTGCAACAAACTGGACGTTATTTACAACTTCATTACCTGTTATCCTCAGCCTATGCAGCTTCTGTTCACTAAAGTAGGCGTCATAGACAGGCACGTGAGTGTTCTCGGCAATGTTGCCAGATTGGGCGGTTTTGAATTAATTTTTGCAGGTAAAACAAGACATGGCGAGTTGTGTAAAATTGGGCGTTTTTTTAAAACGGCGTGTCCGTCAGCCCCGGTCTTCACTTATAAACCTGTTATGATCCTCCAAAGAGGTGCCATAGCCCCCGTTCTCCAAATATAAACGCTTACGACAGTTATGATCTCCCAATGAGACTACAGATTGTTGGGCGCTGCTTATTAGTTTTCAGCGGGTTTTAGGGTGGAAACAGTCAGCCACATCTGGCAACACTGGTTCTCGGAAGTAAACAATCTGCTGGCGGTCAGCTCTCGTGTGATTTTGCGACCGCGAATACATCATTACATGAAGACAGAAATGACATTTCTGGGTGAATTATACCTTATAAATACAGTATGTGACACTTTTAACGCCATTTGAAGGTGTCAATGTTGCTGTGAAGATTTGTGCGACTGCCTTGCTTCTCTCCTGACCATGAAAATATAATTGGCTGAATCGTAGCAAAAGCTGAATTAAGATCATGTCGAGATCGTGATCTTTTTTCGATTAATCACGCAGCACTAATTACAAGAAATATAATTTTTTTTAAAGTTAAATTAGTCTGACTTAAAAAGTTAAACACTATCATCAGTTGGGTTCATTTTAATATGATCAATGTCATTTAATTTTAGGGTGTACTCACACAAGGCACGTTTGCCTTGAACGATCCCTGGTGCAATTGTCTCCCACACTCGCACGTTTACTTTCCGAGACCGAGCACACTTGTGTCATCAATGCGACAGTTCAGTTCAAATAGTAAGAGAAGCACTCTCACTCAGTACAATGGAGATTGCTTCAGTTATGTTGTCTTATTTTGAGTCATGTGGGATGCAGTGAAACACGACCGAACATTTTGTTGAACAGATCCACCACTTTTGCTGCTCATGAATTCTCATAAAATCGTCCTGCTGCATGTATTGGGCTAAAGGTGGTGGCCGAAGGGGTTTGCGAGAAAACTTTTCAAGAGAGTAGATACTCGGCTGCTAGAAGACTCAAGCTGTTATAGGAAATAGGGATACACAGAATTCTTGGTCAGCAAATGTAAAGAGAAAAGAGAGAAAGAGCTTATAATATGAGCCGTAGCCACTGCAGTGAAGCGGCTTTCACACCAGACATTGAAAGCACTGCGCTATGAAACCCATTTAATTCATTGCACGAGTGGACAAACATGAGAGTGAAGTGCAAAGAAACAAAGGACAAGCCGGAAAAAAACAAAGGAGGAAATGATTCTTTCAGCAACCTTAAACATGAAAAAACTGCCATGTTTAACTATGATCATCACCTTTTGGACTATTATGAACTCTGAATGACGGAGTTACTTTGTAACAGAGGCTACATGTGCTTGTGAAGATTACAGACACAGATGAGAGGTCTGCTCTGACTGCAGGCTATATGTTTCATGTTGTTTTTGAACCTAAATAAGGACTAAATGTCTGCTGTGTGTAGTTTTTTTTTGTAGTTGGTATATCGGAGACTGTAAGTGTTCATATATGTTGCATTTCTTTATTTATTTTATATAATCACAGAAGTTCCAGTAGGCTATTTCGCACTGTCATTGATCTGCAGTTATAATCAACTCCTGTTCATAGAAAAGTTAGTAATAAACATTTATAAACAAGTATTAATGTGTATGAAACATCTGTTTTGTGAGAAGTGCTTCTCATATGACATGCGAGTGACCCGTATGGCTTTACTTTTGAGTGAGATTTCTTCGAGCGAGAATGACGTCGACTGAAACTGTCTGTAACCTTGGTACCCTTCAGGCAGTGGAAACGCAAGCCTGATAAAGGTGACCCATACCATACTGTACTTTACCAGTAAGTGGAAAAGGGCCATAAATGTCATGCCAAAAAATAACCTGAACTTGAGAAAGAGAGAGAGAGAGAGAGAGAGAGAGAGCAGCTGTGTGCAGATGGCTCCTAAATAGCATAAAAATAAGAAAAATAGTGGATTTCTTTTTTTATTTTAACAGCCTTTTTTTAGAACTTTAACCCGCTGATAAGAAACTGTGTTTAATAGTGTCATAATAAATAAGAGTATTGTTAAAAATCACATTATTTTTGTGTCACATGTAGTTAACGATTTATGTGCCGTGGCTAAAGGATGTTTTTCAATCCGGCTACCACCCCAAGTATATTTCAAACCTGTGGGAAGCACTGCATATACTTGTTATATTATAATATATACTTAAAATGATGCCCCTCAACTCGTTCACTATTATTAAAATGTTTTTAAAAGTAAAAAAAAAAAAAAAAATTCACTGTTTAAAAAATGTTAATTTGATTGTAAAAACTGTGTTTGTGCTGTAAAGTTAATTAAGGCAAGACTCAGAGCTCTTTTTTGATGGTCTTGGCGCAAAGTCCAAAGTGCAGGGCACAAAAGCATTCAGGCCGTGTCAGAATCCACTTTTGCTATTTTAAGAACGCTTTGCGCTGTGGCGTATGGTCTAACAGGGTTGAGCTTATTCTCTTAATAAGTTATAGGTGTGTTTTGAGAATAAACCAATCATAGTCTCATCTCCCATTCTCTTTAAGAGTCTGTTACATCACACCATATCGCATTTGCTATTTACATGGCGACTTTGTAAGTGGAAAAACTGAACGCTTCACTGGAGAGAAAACAGTTAAACAGCATCTGCAGTGCGAGAAAGAGAGAATGAGCCTCCTCATTCTTTACTTTCACTTTCACTTTATGGATAGGGAAATGTGTTGTACGCACAGACATCTATTAGCCTACACATAATTAATTTTGTTTGTTAAGCGCAAAGATTTGTTTCAAAACTATTTCTAAACTCAGTTCTAATTTCCAGCAAACGAATAAATGAACAATAATAACAAAGAGTGCTCAAAAACCTGAGTTATATCCAAATACACATGCTGTGCCCCATATGGTCTAAAACCTGACAGGTGGACAAATCTAATCTTGTTTTTAAGAAAACAAATATAAATCTGCATATAATAAATAATACTGCTAATAATAATAATAACATTATAAAAAAGCAAATTGTCATGAATAAACTAAAAAAAGCCCCCCGAGATGAAGGCTGGTGGTTTCTATATTTATGTAAAATTATTATTAATATTTATGTATGTAAAATAATATTTTTTGTAATTTTGCATCCTTTTACATTTGTAGAGATATTTCCATATTGCTGTACATCCTGTGTCTATTAAGCAATGTTTAAGTGAAGTGCACAACAGCGCTGGACTTTAGACCTGCTTTGATCTGGTCTCTATTGAACAGTGTAATTTAGTTCCTTAAAATAGCAACGCGCCTTAACACACCTCGTTTTTTAGACCTGAACACATATATGGGCGCACATATGAAAGCAAATGCATTTGTTATTTAAACAGCGTGGTGCAAAACGTCAAAATGACTCTTGCGTCGCGCTGAAGCTAGCAAACAACGATTGCGTCGCGCCTTGCGCCGGGTGAATGATACGGCCCTCAAAGTCTATACGCATAAACTGTTAATACAAAAAAACGACAAAGTGCTTAAATATTATCAACCTCACTGTTGTTCAGCCTCATTATTGAAGAGTAATGAATAAACACAAACCTATTAGTTCTTCAGTCTCTTCCTGTTTAATTCTGCAGGGTTCTGGATCACTCATCTTCTCACTGTCCTTCAATAAACTCTGTCTTTGTCTTTCACTGATGGCGGCGGAGCTTTAGAGGATAAAACAGAAATCTGATTCATTTACACTGATTAATGAACTAAATTATATTATATTATAGCTTCTAAGTGATAAAATAAGCAATGGCATAATTTGCTCAGTTCCGCTTACAATAAAAATAACACATCAGTATGATGAAGCATAAATAGCAGCTTACAACTAAAATATTTTAGAACACAATAAAACTACATTACTACCAGCTTTTTAGCATAGAAAACTAAGAAGTATGCACACCAAATAAAGAAAGTATACTGCTAACAGATTCATGATGTGGTATGTGAAAAACGTTATAAAAAATCCAAACTAACAATTTAATAATTTCATTTAAGCTCACATATATTAAAGTTACACTATTTTCAGATTATACGTTACTCTATTACATTAACAGAGTACATTATTACATTACCCCAGACGGTTATATACAAACGCAGTTAGCCTGCAAGTTAACCGTTAAAGAAAACCACAAACACTTCACTCACATTGTCCTCTCAGAGCTGCTCTCTGCCTGCTGTATTGTTTTGGTCAGCAGACACAGATAGAGGTGAACTCAATGCAGAAACTAGTCGCAGATTGTCACTTTAATAAACTGTAAAGTGTGTTTTATTGTTGTGTAAACACGAGAAAAAGCGTCAACGACTCACCTCAGCTCTGAAGACTCGACGCTGAATGAACGCGTCAGCGCTGACGTCATCACGGCGAGGCGAGAACAACAACGGCGGATCAAAAGTCAAAACAATCGTTATGTAGACAAAAAGCCATATTACTCGATCTTATGTGAAGTAAAAAAAACTCTTTAATCAGCACTTTAAACGGCACTTAATGTAAAACACAAACTTAATACTTATAATGGCGGACAGACAACTATAAAACAATATTTTTCTGAAGTAAATCAGATTTTAATAAAATATAAGTATAAAAACATTAATAAACATAACAGTGTAAAGAAAATAAGATAAAAACAATGATAAAACAACAAATGTATCGTCATTAAAAATGGTGAATGTCAATAAAGTGCCTTTGATGTCCCCCAAGATTAAATTAGTCCTATATGAACATAATGCGAATCAATGAATGTGTTAATATAATTGGTTAAACCTTTACACATGCAGGTAGAATTATAAGTGTTTTGAAATGTTTTTGTCAATTTTTGTCTTATTCTTTCATTGATGTATGTGATTTTGCCATGTCCCACACACTGCCCAGCCAACTTCAGCGAGTCGTAGGTAAATTAGCTTAAACGAAAAATATTTTTTTAAATATTTAAAGTATGTCATTTTGATCACTTTTATTTTGTTTTTATATTATTAATCATTTTCCATGTGTCCTTGAATTTGCTATAGTATCTGGATGCAGCCTTTATGCTGAGACTGCATCATTCAGCGATGCAATGTCAGACACTCAATGCACTCAAATGGAGCTAGAGAAGAAGATTTTATTATCTCTGTATGAAGTATTTTCTAAGTGTAAAGCAGTTAATTTTCTCTTCTCAAAATGTATGTAGTGTTTGCAGCAAACATGCCAGCCTGTGTTAAAAATACAGTGATATGTCTGTGTAAGATGAGTATGCCTGCACAGGAGCAACACTAGGAGAAGGCTGAGTGACTGATTGTGTAGAATAACTGAATATGTAAAGCACTGATTATTTAGGTTAAATACTTGTATGAAGCTATATGTGTCAGATGTTGGAATGAGTAACATATTATCAAGTTATTATGCTTTCATGACAATGTATGCAAACACTTAGTTCCTTTGCATAAGTTGCATCTATACTTTGCTGACATAGACCTGTAACATCTCTGCTGACATGAGCTAGTGGGCTGAGAGCCAAGAATAGCAGGACCCCTTAGACTAAAAACCTATTCAAAAATGGTCAAGAGTTAAAAAGAGACTTAGGGGTGTGTCAAATAATCCTGTATAAAAATTGTAACAAACACAGATACTTCAGAAGTTGTCCAGGAGAGACTTGAGAATGCTCTGGGGTCTGCTCTGCTCTTTCTCGGCTTTATTATGGAGAATAAAGTCTATTTTCTAATATTCAAAACCTCTGGTCTGATAATTTTTAATTGATGAGAAGTCAATATTTACGACACTAGTGACATCACTGTGACGGGTAGGGTTAGGTGAGTCTATTAAAAAGCATTGGATGCAGCCCAGATTGCACTGCACCAGGTCTGCAGCCAGACCCCTCTTCTCCATCCTGGTAAAGTGTTAATTTAAACAACTAAAGTTACAATTTAACATAAATTTTGGGGAAAATGACAAATAAAACATGTAAAACGTTGAATATAACAAACTTACCTTCAGATAACAGTTCCGTCCGTTGCCTTATGTTCGTTTTTTTTATTTTTGCCTGATTCTTTCACTGAATGCATGTGATTTTGCCATGTCCCACACACTGCCCAGCCAACTTCAGCGAGTCGTAGGTAAATTAGATCAAAATATTCATATTGTCTTTACAGGTTATTTGATCACTTTTATTTAGTTTTACAATATTATTAATCATTTTCCACGTGTGCTTGAAATTGCTGTCCACCCTGTCATGATGTGGTAAATGCCCCTTTAAGAAACCCTTTTGACGTACTCACTGGCATTCCCCTGCAATTTTGACCTGTATTCAGAGGAGGTTAAACCATTTGATGAGCACACAGTAGGTATCTACACTTTTTCCTCATATTGTTTGAAACTGAATGTTGTCAAGTTTAACATGCCAACCCTGTCATAGTGAAATATGAATTAATATGAACATTTTTCAGTAATTAAAAATATGCGCTTGTTAAATGTGACGTCACACGAAGCCGCTTCCAGGTCCAAGCGCTCTATTCAACTGTATAAGGAGACTCATGAAATGGTAATTATGAACGTTTACAAAGCGATTTAATAATTTCGAAAATCACAATCGCAGTATATATGTCCATGCCTAATATCCGATGGCCAGAAAGTGATACATTTTTTTATAAATTGTTAAAATTTTGGCTTTTGTGATGCAGCAAGCCCAGAGATTGTTGTGTACACTATGACTTTATATAAAATTAACTTTAATGTGTGATATGAATTAAAAGTGATCATAAGCATGTGGGCTGTGGTAGTCCAGTAAAAGAAAAGTACCTCAGTCTAGTTCTGCTGTCTGTGTTGCAAATCCCATAAGAGCATCCAAAAAAACAAACAAAAAGTGCTCAGGGGGCTTCTCAAATAATTGGTCGGTGCTCTTTGGGTAAGGGATTCATCAAAACAACAACAGAAATCAGTCCGGGGCACTCGAAAAATGTGAAAAATTTAATCTAATTTTTATTCACATGGCTGAATCTTAAAAAGCTACGCGTTTCGGCAGGGAACTGCCTTCATCAGGGTAACAGCGATCAGGTGCATCTAGAGTCTCTTTTGAGTACAACGGTCACATGACTCATCTAAACATCTCAACAATACTCAAACATATTAACAAACAAGGTCAACTATAATCATTAATTCGTCATAGATAGAAGGGGGCATACAAACATAACCCTATTTTCATGTATGTGCACATGTATGTACGTGTTCGTAGGGGTGTATATATGTATGTACATGCCATGTTTAAGCATATTTATCGGTACATACTTGTTTATTAGTTCTATATATATATATATATTATATATAGTTCTTATATATAGTTATATATATATATATATATATAGATATATAGATATATATATATATATGCAAGTGTATGTCTGTATATGTTTGTATGCCCCGTTCTATCTATGCCGAATTAATGACGATAGTTGACCTTTTGTTAAATTGACAGTTGGTTAAATTGTTTGAGAATACGCTTATTTCACAAATTAGCTTCAAACAACATCCCAATCTCTGTAAGAGTAATATGCTCAAGTGTCCTCCTAGGCTTCAGTTCCTGGCAGCAGTTAAACACCATGGGGACGCTTTTCTTGCTTCAGCCAATGTAATACGGCGAGCGATTAAACAATGCAGTTCTCTATAGCACACCCTGGTGTTGTCTGTAATAGTGTTGTCCCGGTACTGAAGTTTTAAATCCATCCATTTTCTGCTAACATTGAAGCGCCGCTGAGCGCGGATGACTCGACTGATCTTCACGGCTGCTTCGCGCTTCAGTCTCCGTGTATCTGTGTTTGCACTCAGCTCTTCGCCCAGTGCAAACACAGATACACGGAGACTGGAGCGCGAAGCAGCCATGAACATCAGTCGAGCCATCAAGCAGATCGCTTGTCTGTGTTTGTACTTGGTAAACAGCTGAGGGTGAACAGATGACCTTCTCGGCCAATCACAGTCATTTCTGTTGAGCATGTGAACAGCAAATCAGCGCTGTTTTAAGAAAGCCATCAACAGTGTCTTAAATGTTAGCAATTGACGTTTTTTCTTATAATTTAGTATCGTGACGAGTCTAATATAGTAAAAGAATCAGTTAATTAACTTGAGTTTGATAAATGGCATCTAAAACGTTTGTTTGGGAAAGAAAATGTTAGCTAACTAGTGCCTTTTCTCTTAACATAGCTGAAAATGAGCTCTGATGTCCTTTCTATTTACAGCATTCATTCAGAACGGACCTTCGGGTCACTCGGAAGGCTGTGAATTTATAAATTTGTGTCACTTTATCTTCGCTGATAAGATATACAGCCAAGTACACAACGTTCCTATGTAACTCCCAATGATACTTCTGGGTTTTTTCCCACCGCAGCCTCGATTTCGCTTTTAATAATGGCGGCCGCATGAAATCAGTCTATTGTTGAGATGTTTAGATTAGTCATGTGACCGTTGTACTCAAAAGAGACTCTAGATCAGTGGTCACCAAACTTGTTCCTGGAGGGCCGATGTCCTGCAGATTTTAGTTCCAACCCTAATCAAACACACCTGAACAAGCTAATCGAGGTCTAATTGGGTATACTTGAAACATCCAGGCAGGTGTGTTGAGGCAAGATGGAGGTAAACCCTGCAGGGACACGGCCCTCCAGGACCAGGATTGGTGAGCCCTGCTCTAGAATGTCATGTTTGATGGGTCAGATGACATTAATCACGTGAGACACAAAAAAAATCACTGTTGTATTCTGATATTCCTATGCGTAAAAGCACAACTCTTAATGATGAAGCGAAACGCAAGAGAAAGGAGAGGCGTCTCCGGCAGAGGGCGCGCCGAGCCAACAAACCAGCTGGACGAACTCTCTGTAAACCCCTTGCTACTCCTGATGACCCTCTTGCTCGTAGTCGAACTCTGAATGAACTCCCTACTCGTACTTTTGTTGAACTTTCTACTGAGTTCGCACACCTGAATCTAAGTGCATATCTATATAGCACATTATAAATCAAGGCTGATATTAAAATGCCTAAATGTTGATTTATATGATATAATGTATTCTGATGACTATATATCTGTCTTCTTACTGTTCAAGTGATTTAGCATGCTCCTTGAATGTATGATTTAAGTAGCTTGTTGATTTATGAACATTGTCACTGAGACACTGGGTATTAAAGCTGACATGTACTCATCAGCTTTGCGCTTTCTGATTTCTGTATACTGAGAGTCGTGGGCACTTTATTCTCAAATGGTCGATAAAGTAAGGATCTTTGTTTCTGTTATTTGTATTTTGTTTATTCTACTTTTTCACTGGATTTTATTTTATTAATAAAAGTGTATTTTATTACTTTTCTTCACTGGAGTGGACATTGAATTCATTTTCCAGAACCCATCAAAGTTACCCTGTGTGGTAAAGTTTGAATCTAATTTGTTCTTTTGCAAAATACCTTCTAAAGACGATCCTTTAACTAAACTCTAGCTAAGAAATATAGCGAAGGGAGGATCCTGATTTTATCTTTGTTTAATTAGGGTGATTAAATAAAGGCGAATCAGCACAAGATGCACCTGCGGCCTCATGTATCAACGCTGCGTACGCACAAAAACTTTGCGTACGCCAGGTTTCACGCTCAGAATCGCTCACGTTTGGATTTAGTAATGATGAAGTGAACGTGGGAATGTGCGCAGCTTCACGGTAGCTTTCTGGCTGGCGTACGCACATTTTTTGTGCGTGCCTGTTTTATTTCCATTGGCGACTCCTAGAGGCAGTTGTGTTAAATTCCTCTCTACAAAGTGTCTGAGCCTTGCAATGGCAGCTGTATGAGGTATATAAGGTTTCCATACCATACTGTTGATCAGCTAAACATTAAAGCGCAATTTGCAGCGGTCGCCTGTTTTAATAATGTAATGGGAGCGATCTACTGCACGCACATTGCTATAAAGGCACCATGTGTAGATGAATTTGCATGCGTGAATCAGAAACATTTCCATTCAATAAATGTGCAAATAAAATATGATGCACAAACTTATTAATGATTCCTACTTGTCTTTCTTGTGATAAATAGTAGGCAAGATCTGATATGTAGCGGGGAAAAAAAGAAGAATGAGTTCATCAGACGCTGGATTCGAACCGAGTTCATGCTTAAAAGTGTCAAAACATGTTGACATGCGTTTAACGAGCTGCGCCACTGAGACTGTTAAGGACAGTACAACATTTTACACCTATAAATCACACTATTTCTTTTTTTTAATTCACTCAGTGCGATGTTCAGACCCAACTGTGTTAACCGCATCAGCTAAACTCTCCCACTCTATTTTTTTCTGTTGTTGTTAATTCCGGACAAACTTGCAAATAACACCGCTTTTCTCCGGTCTACCTCCGAAAGCAGCACCTCCAATTCACATTCTGTTCAAAGTTTCTCTTATTGCTTGCTTTTTCCGTTGCTTTTTCGTTGGGTTTTGCCATTAGCAGTCATTAGCATATTCATACGGGGGAGGAGGCAGGGAGGGGTTTTGCGCTCGTGCATGTTACGCTCAGTTTCACGTTCATTCGGATGTACAAAAGAATATGCGTGAGATTCGGCGTACGCAGTGTTTCATACATCTGAATTTTTTTCTGCGTACGCACATTTACAGCTTTGTGCGTACGCAATGTTTTAGCATGATTTCCACGCAAGTCTTCGTACATGAGGCCCCTGATCACTGTTACCCTGATGAAGGCAGTTCCCTGCCGAAGCGCGTAGCTTTTCAAGATTTAGCCACGTGAATAAAGGCTTTTTAAATTTTCCACATTTTTCGAGTTGATGAATCCCTTACCGTACGCTCACACCGAAAGTGGCGAGAGCGTCAAAGTAGCCGGAAGTCATTCATTTTCAATAAGAGCCGGCGGCGATAAGCGGCGAGGAGCAGCACGGCGCGTCTTCGCCGGCGTGAGCGTCGAGGAGAGTTGAAATTAAGTCAACTTTATGGTAATGAGCTATGACGCGGTTCGCAAAAGCAATCAGAATAAAGACGTCCATCGCTTGATAGAAGTTCAGAGAACACAGACCTGTGAACTTTGGTTCCGACCACAGTTGTTCCCATGGGTTTGATTATTGCGGTCGCCGGATTTCCAATTATTTAAAATTTTTCCTACAGGAACATACATTTAATAAGTTACTGGCGAGTTACTGATGTTCATTAATGATATATAAATTTATCTTAAAAAAGCGGGAATCTCACGCGATGTGACAGTACAAAACAGTATTGCTGCTTCAGGATATTTCAGACATATGGACACATATTGGATAAATAGAGCAAAGCCACACCACACGCAACTTGATCTTCCATTGTTGTATGAATTTGATAAGAAGTGCGCAACATTTTCACGCTAGAAACATGTTTTATGCAGGAATGTAACTGATAATGCTGCAACGGCTCCTTTAAATATGAGATCAATGTTGCGAGTTTTGACGCTCTCGCCGCAGGAGCTGAAGGCAGACAGCGTTGTCGCCAGGGCGGCCAGAGCGACCTTGGATGCTCTCGCCGCTTTCGGTGTGAACGTACGGTTACTCATAAGAGCATATTTGGACCATTTTTAATGTTAGTTATTAATGCTTCTTTATTATGAAGCCTGTCAGAAAACACGGCTGAGAGCACCCGGGGGGCACGGACCTTGCGGACAACCTGTCAAACAGCAATGAAGCGTCAATTGTGAATTAACGTGCACTCATGCCTTGCTAATAAATTAGTGAATACTAACTTTTAGGAAGGTCAATTTCATTGATGTGCACTCCATCATAACAAAGAACATGAATACGGCTCCTCCTTTTCATGAACTGTCAGATGTTTCCTCAGCTCTGCAGGCCTCAAAAACGTTTTGCCGCACTGATCACATTTATGCGGTTTCTCTCCAGTGTGGAGCATCATGTGTTCATTGCGGGACGATGAAACTCTGAAACTCTTCCCACACTGAGCACACGAGTACGGCTTCTCTCCGGTGTGGATCCTCTCGTGCGCTACCAGATGTCCCGAATGTCTGAATGTTTTGTTGCAGTGTGAACACACGAACGGCCTCTCTCCAGTGTGGATCATCTGGTGCTGCTTCAGGTCTGTAGCCCTAACAAAAGTCTTCTCGCACTCGAAGCATGCGTGCGCTCTCACACCAGCGTGGATCTTCTGATGGGCGTTTAAAACTTGTAAACGTGCAAAACTCTTCCCGCACACAGGACACGAATAAGGCTTCTCCTGTGTATGATATCTAAGATGGTCCTTCAGCTGAGAAGCTCTCGAAAAAGCTTTGTCGCATTGGTCACATTTGTGCGGCTTCTCTCCGGTGTGGATGAGCATGTGTTTGCTGAGGTGTGATGATTGTTTAAAGCCAATCCCGCACTGAGTACAGGTGAACGGTTTCTCTCCAGTGTGGATCATCTGGTGTCGCTTCAAGTCTCGAGCTGTAATGAAAGTCTTCTCACACTTAACGCACACAAACTTTCGTACACCAGTGTGGATCTTCCGATGTTCATGTAAAATTGACAGCAGTGTAAAGCTCTTCTCACACTCAGAACATGAATGAGGCTTCTCGTTTGTAAGATGCTCCCTCTCATGTGTTTTCATGAGTCTTAACTGGCTGAATCTCTTGTCGCAGTGCGAACACTTGTAAGGGTTCTCAACAACGTGGTTTAGCATGTGTTTATTAAGGTGTGACGACTGTTTAAAACTCATCCCACACAAAGCACACGTGTACGGTTTCTCAGCAGTGTGGATCATCTGGTGCCGCTTCAAGTCTGCGGATTTAATGAAAGCCTTCCCACACTCAATGCACACATGCTCTCTCACACCAGTGTGGATCTTCTGATGTTCATTTAAACTCGACTGTCTTGTAAAGCTCTTTCCGCACTCAGAGCATGCATAAGGCTTCTCGTTTGAATGAACTCGGAGATGCTCCTTCAGCTCTGAAAGCCTGGAAAACGTTCTGCTGCATTGATCACATTGGTGCGGTTTCTCTCCGGTGTGGATCAGCATGTGCTGATTACAGGAAGATGACTGAGTGAAACTCTTCCCACACTGAGCACACGTGTAGGGTTTCTCTCCAGTGTGAGTCCTCTCGTGCGTTTTCAGGTGTCCTAACTGATTGAATCTCTTGTCGCAGTGTGAACACTTGTGCGGTTTCTCTCCGCTGTGGATCCTCATGTGAAGCTCGAGAGCATATTTTCGGTTAAAGCGGTTTCCGCACTCAGTGCAGGTGAAACTTTTGGCTGTTCCTCCTTCCGTTACAAAAACGTCTTTGTCCTTTGAGTGAGTATCTTCACTTCTGACATGATGTTTCTCCTCATCTTCACTCAGTTCTTCACTCTCCTCCATCCCTACCACATCTGAAAATGAATTAAGTAACATGTTACAGCAGTACGCATTCATTCCTCTGCAAAGCTCAGTTTCATATCAGAGTTAGTAAAAGCATGTACTATAACAAGACTTTGCAGCATGGGACAGTTTTAATTTATTGATGTGTATTCAATTCATTCATTTTTTTTTAAAGGGCACGTAGGTTACCTCTAAGAGTTTTGTAGAGCTGTGAACCTGCACTGGACTCAGGGTTCGGTTACGATTATCATGCCATCGATTCGGTTCAATTGGATATCTCGGAGCATCACGGTGCATTGACGATGCTTTCCATACACAGTTTTATAAATTCTTGTAATAAAATGTATGAATATATTAATATTAATTAAGGGTGTCACGATCCTCCAAATCCTTGATTCGATTAAATTTTTGATTCTAAAGGCACGATTCGATTCGATTATGAATAATTAATTAATGAACAATTAATTATTTGTAGCCTACCGTTTAAACTACCTGACCTGCATGGTCTTTGTTTTACCCATAAACAAATCATACAGTAAATGAATAAAGGCAAGATACACACATAATTACCACCCGTCAATCACTTTTTCTGCGGGACTCGTGAATAGGCAGTGATCTGTGTCGTTATAATGGCGTCGGTAAAAAGACGCACAACCAACAGGAACCAGGCAACAGTATCTGAGGTGTTCGCTAAAATGACTAAGTACAAGTGAGTGAAAGATTGAAGCAGTCCTCTGACTGCCTGGACCTGCTGTCTCGAGCGCATGGCTGTGTGTGCGTCTGTGTCTGTGTGGTCACGTGATGTGCATTTTCAGAGGTAGAGAGGAAGGAGGGCTGCTCAGAAATGCTACACGCCACTGTGGATGTCAAATCGTTGTCGTTCTAAAATGCCATTTAAAAACAAAGACAGTGTAAACAGGGCCTGAGTGTGAACTTTTCGCGAGTGGATTTGCAACAGGGGCGGGCGGAGGATCGCGATGCCGGTGTTGTCTATCGGATGAACCGTACGTAATACGTACATAGCAGAGCTTGCAAAACTGTGTTTTTTTGTCGACAACACGAACGTTGTCAACATAACTCACTGGAAATCCAAAATGCTTCCACACCGGCGACTTCATTGAAAGAGGAGAGGGTTTAAGCTCTGTCGACGGGTCTCCTGCTTCTGCAGTTTAACAAGCACTTCAACAAGCCTGTTTTTTTCCCGCTTGGCAAGCCAAGCTGACGTGACATGGGGGCGTGGCAGCATCGACGATTCTATTTTTTGATTCGATAATCGAAATTGAGCATAAATTTCGATCGATTACGATAAAAAATCTAAATTGTGACACCCCTAATATTTATATACTATTTGTAATACAATTTTGTCATTTAATACAAGCAGTCATATATATAAACTGTACCTTTAAACGACACAGGCATTTATAGCAAATAAAATAAAGAAATATAAATATCCCGCTCGCTTTCTGATCCGTCTACCAAGTTCTCTTACACCCCTTTGATTGGTCACACGCTCAACAAAAACGGTTGCGATTGGCTCTTGCGCGCTGCGCTTTTCACAGATGAGTTTTACTGATACGTGGCAGGCGGCAGCAGCGATCACAGCTGATGTATGATAGACACGGTGGAGAAAACTCTGCAGGCACACGGTCGTGTCTGTATTTAGAAGTAATGCTGTTAAACAGCCGAGAGGAAAAGATAAATCACGCCAGCACGTCAAATGGGCCACAGTATGTGTGCGTGTGTGAGAGAGAGAGGGAAATGGAGTACTTGCATTCCCTCAATCACAGTGAAATAGGGGCTTCTGCTGTGTGTCAGTGAAAGACTGATCCAGCAAACACACACGCAGTCAAATTGAGCCCAGTTTCTGCGTTTGAAGTTGTTGGAGCGTTGTAAATACTCGTCCTCGCGACAGAGCGCACATGAGATAAATGACGACAGTACATAATAACCGGTTATGATTATTACTGAACCGATACCGAATTGTCCACGTCTGCATCGCAGTGCACCGAAGAAACAATTAATTTTAACACCCCTGGTGTTTTGTGTCTCCAGGATGTGTCTGTAAAGTTTCAGCTCAAAACACACATCAGACTTTTCATTATACCTTTTTCAGGATTCTTCTTTATACATTTTTGCACCAGGTGGCGGTTTTGTCGTACTGCGCCTTTAAGGCGAGTCCTCCCAAACTACCATTTCTATGTGCCTTTCTACGTGCCTAAATCTTAATTTTGATTTTTGATTTGATTTATTTATTTTCAAACAAAAACATCATACATAAAATATCATTAACAAAAAAAAATATATATATATATACACATTTAAGCATGGTCGAAAATGGAGCGGGATGAAGCATAAGATTATTAATCTCCCACCCCATTACCACATACATCATTCGTTTATTACTTAAACTTATTTGTTCTTTTATTTATCTCTTCTTTTTACATGAAACATATTTTTATCCTTATGGCGTCTTTGACAAATAATATGTTTGATTCTATTTGTACCTTTTCATTTTGTAACAGACCCAAAGAAGAAAAAAAAAAGAAAAAAATACACAGTACTGCAAAAAGAAAAAGAACAACAACAACAACAGTATTGCAAATAGCCATTAATTAAAATTTCATCATACTTTTCTCTTTTTATCCTTTTTTTCAATCACCCTCTTCATAATATTTCTTTATATATATATATATATATATATATATATATATATATATATATATATATATATATATATATATATATATAAATAATGGGGGGGGTGTTGTTGTTGTCGCGCGCATACTGAAGAGCGGTGTTAAGATCAGTGTTGTCGTTCGCCTACTGAAGGGCAGGACGGAGGGTGTGTCGCGTCACGGGGGCACTTTTGATCATTTTGGAAGGGCACTTTATATCCAAGACTAAACAGGGCACAGGTTGAGCCCTATGTGTGCACGTGCCTGTATATATATATATACATTCCTGTAAATATATTAATACAGTTTTTTGTAATTGAAAAAACTTAATAAAAAATAAAATAAAAATTGTTAAGATAAAATTAAAAGTCATTAAAAAAAGAACTAAAACTGATGAAGTACTTTAAGATTTAACAACTTCACTGTTTTTTAGCCTCATTATTGAAGAGTAATGAATAAACACAAACCTATTAGTTCTTCAGTCTCTTCCTGTTTAATTCTGCAGGGTTCTGGATCACTCATCTTCTCACTGTCCTTCAATAAACTCTGTCTTTGTCTTTCACTGATGGCGGCAGAGCTTTAGGAGAATAAACAGAGAAATCTGATTCATTTACACTGATTGAGGAAATAAACACATTATGATGATATATCTTATAAATAGGCCCACAAGGAATCTGCGCATGGAGAATTCCACAGATTTTTAGCCCATCATAAACTCTCTTTATTTACTTGACTAAATATGTGTAATATCTATGCTCAGTTTTTAAATTAATTACAGTAATATTACTGACTAATATGAAAATGTTCATCTGATTTATGTACAATGCAGCTTGTGCAGTAATATTTTCTGTCTTTTAGTAGAGATATTATATGAGAGACTTGCTTTGTTTACCAAATAAAGTGAATCTAATTGGATTTGCATTTTAAACATTAAATAAAAATTAAAAAGATATAATTTTTTATTTGATATATTAAGGTTTTAGTTGTGATACTCCACAAATATATCTGAAGAAATCTGCAGATTTTTACCAAAATTCTCTGCAGAAAAAGCAAAACACGTCCGCAGATTCCGTCTGGCCCTGCCTATAGGTGAAATATGTGAATATTTAATCTGCTCACAAGTAAGCTGACAACAATAACCTAACCCAATGTGGCAATTTGTAGATCCGAAGACATAAAAACTACTGACATTACATGAAGAGGATTTCAGCAGTTAATATTATAATACTGCTGAGCATCAGACTATAAACTCATTAAACAGCCATTTAGGAGAAGCAGCAGATCATCGTCTTACACTGAGTGTTTACAGAAATAACCAATTACTATAGTAATTAATTAAAAAATACATTTGCATTTATATTAATATTTTGTTTAAATATTAAGTATTCGTATCAATGAAGTGATTAGATTGTTAGCAATCGCACATTTTCAGTTGAAGTCAGAATTATTCACCCCGTTTATTTTTTCCCCAATTTCTGTTAAACAGAGATTTTTTTCAAAGAATTTCTAAACATAAGTTTTAATAACTCATTTCTAATAACTGATTTATTTTATCTTTGCCATGATGACAGTAAATAATATTTCACTAGATATTTTTTTAAACACTTTTATTCAGCTTAAAAGAACATTTAAAGGCTTAACTAGGTTAATTAGGTTAACTAGGCAGGTTAGGGTAATTAGGCAAGTTACTGTATTTTGATGGTTTGTTCTGTAGTTGAAAAACAAAAATAATTTATAGGGGCTAATAATTTTGACCTTAAAATCGTTCAGAAAAAAATAGAAATTGCTTTTATTCTTGCAGAAATAATACAAATGAGAATTTCTCCAGAAGAAACAATATTATCAGACATGCTGTGAAAATTTCCTTGCTCTGTTAAACATCATTTAGGAAATATTTAAAAAATAAATAAATAAATAAAAGAGTGCCAATTATTCTGACTGCAACTTTATGTATATTTACAGAAACTAGAAAATCTCAAATACGTTTAAAAATTAGGAGGACCAGAAATGATTCGTTGAATGTTTTCTGCATCAAACTTCACATATCTGCCGCAGGAGATTCCCATTATCCCCCTTGACAGATCATACTGTGTAACACAACGAACACAAACACTCATACTTGTGTCAAATTGTCCTCTCAGAGCTCCTCTCTGCCTGCTGTATTGTTTTGGTCAGCAGACACACAGATAGAGGTGAACTCAATGCAGAAACTAGTCGCAGATTGTCGCTTAAATAAACTGTAAATTGTGTTTTATTGTTGTGTAAACACGAGAAAAAACGTCAACGACTCACCTCAGCTCCGAAGATTTGACGCTGAATGAACGCGTCAGCGTTGACGTCATCACCACGCGGCGGGCGCAACGACGGATCATCAAAACCGCGCCAAATTTAATGATTG